CTATCTCAAGAAACAAGAAAAAGATCTAATGAACCATCTAACACAACAACTAAAAGAACTAGAACGAGAACAGCAAGAAAAGCCCCGAGGAAGTAGAAGGAAGGAAATAATAAAAATCAGAGCAGAGATTAATGACATAGAGACTAAAAAAACAATACAAAAAATCAATGAAACCAAGAGCTGGTTCTTTGAAAAGGTAAATAAGATTGATGCACCTTTAGCCAGACTCACTAAGAAACAAAGAGAGAGGACCCAAATAAATAAAATCAGAAATGAAAGAGGCGATATAACAACTGACCCAACAGAAATACAAAGGATTGTAAGAAAATATTATGAGCAACTATATGCCAACAAATTGGACAACATGGGGGAAATGGACAAATTCCTAGAAGCATACAACCTTCCAAAGCTGAATCAAGAAGAGGCAGAAAACCTGAATAGGCCGATAACAACTAATGAAATTGAAGCAGTAATCAAAAAACTCCCAGCAAACAAAAGTCCTGGACCAGATGGATTTACAGGCGAGTTTTACCAAACATTCAAAGAAGAATTAACACCTATTCTATTCAAACTATTCCAGAAAATTCAAGAGGAGGGAAAACTCCCAAACTCTTTTTATGAGGCCAGCATCATCCTAATCCCAAAACCAGATAAAGATACTACAAAGAAAGAAAATTACAGGCCAATATCCCTGATGAACATAGATGCTAAAATCCTCGCTAAAATACTAGCAAACCGGATCCAGCAATACATTAAAAAGATCATACATCATGACCAAGTGGGATTTATTCCAGGGATGCAAGGCTGGTACAACATCCGCAAATCAATAAATGTGATACATCACATAAACAAAATGAAGGACAAAAATCATATGATCATATCAATAGATGCAGAAAAAGCATTCGACAAAATCCAGCACCCATTTCTGATAAAAACTCTCAGCAAAGTGGGAATAGAGGGATCATACCTCAACATAATAAAGGCCATATATGACAGACCTACAGCCAACATCATACTCAATGGGCAAAAACTAAAACCATTTCCATTAAAAACCGGAACAAGACAGGGATGTCCACTTTCACCACTCTTATTCAACATAGTACTGGAAGTCCTCGCCATAGCCATCAGACAGGAAGAAAACATAAAAGGTATCCAAATTGGAAAGGAGGAAGTAAAACTGTCATTATTTGCAGATGACATGATATTGTACATAGAAAACCCTAAAGACTCCATCAAAGTACTACTAGATTTGATAAACGAATTTGGCAAGGTAGCTGGATACAAAATCAACATCCGGAAATCAATGGCAATCTTATACACCAACAATGAACTTTCAGAGAGAGAAACTAAAAAAGCAATACCATTTACCATTGCAACTAAAAAAATAAGATACCTAGGAATAAACTTAACCAAGGATGTAAAAGACCTGTACTCAGAAAACTACGTGACACTGAAAAAAGAAATAGAGGAAGATATAAACAAGTGGAAGAATATACCATGCTCATGGATTGGAAGAATTAATATCATTAAAATGTCCATACTACCCAAAGCAATTTATAGATTCAATGCAATTCCTATTAAAATACCAACAGCATATTTCACAGACCTAGAACAAACATTTCAAAAATTTATATGGAACCAAAAAAGACCCCGAATAGCTGCAGCCATCTTGAGAAAAAAGAACAGAGTGGGAGGGATCACATTACCAGACTTCAAACTGTATTACAAAGCCACTGTAATCAAAACGGCCTGGTATTGGTACAACAACAGGCATATAGATCAATGGAACAGAACAGAGACCCCAGAAATAGACCCACGCCATTATGGTCAGTTAATATTTGACAAAGGAGGCAAGAGCGTACAATGGAGTAAAGACAGTCTCTTCAATAAGTGGTGCTGGGAAAACTGGACAGATACATGCAAAAGAATGAAACTAGACCACCAACTTTCACCATACACAAAAATAAACTCAAAATGGATAAAAGACTTAAATGTAAGTCACGAAACCATAAAAATCCTGGAAGAAAACAGGCAGTAAAGTCACAGGCATCCCACGTAGTAGACTTTTCACTGATACATCTCCTAGGGCAAGAGAAACAAAAGAAAAAATAAACATCTGGGACTGCATCAAACTAAAAAGCTTCTGCGCATCAAAAGAAAACAGCCTCAAAATACAAAGGAACCCCACGGTCTGGGAAAACATATTTGCCAAGGATGTATCTGATAAGTAGCTAATTTCCAAAGTGTACAAAGAACTCATAGCACTCAGCAAGAGGAAGACAAACAACCCAATTAAGAAATGGGGAAAGGACTTGAATAGACACTTCTCCAAAGAGGACATACGGATGGCCAAGAGACACATGAGAAAATGCTCAACATCCCTAATCATCAGAGAGATGAAAATTAAAACCACAATGAGGTATCACCTCACACCTGTCAGAATGGCTCCATCAACAAATCAACAAACGACATGTGCTGGCGAGGGTGTGGGGAAAGGCGAACCCTAGTGCACTGCTGGTGGGAACGCGGACTGGTGCCGCCACTATGAAGAACAGTATGGAGGTTCCTCAAAAAATTAGAAATGGAGCTGCCGTTTGACCCAGTGATTCCACTCCTAGGAATGTATCCTAAGAATCCTGAAACANNAATCCAGTACCCTTTGGGACAGTATAGATGGACCTGGGGAATATTATGCTAAGCAAAATAAACCAGGCAGAGAAAGACAAACATCACATGATCTTGCTTATACGTGGAATCTAAAGAACTTAATAAACTGATGAACAGAATAGATTCAATGACATGGAAGCATGGATGAGACTGACGAATGTCAGAGGGATGGAGGAGGGCGGGTGGGTGGAGGGGGAGAGAGTAATCAAAGAATTCATATGCATATATGCACAACCCAAGGACAGGGACAATGGTGGGGAGAGGGACTTGGGAAGGGAAAGGGACCAGGAGGAATGGGTCTTTGGGGAGAAAAAGGGACATCTGCAATATTTTAAACAAAAATAAAATTTTAAAAAAAAAGCAAAAAAAATTATATATATATATATATATATAAAATAAAATAAAATAATAAAATAAAATAAAATAAAATAAAATAAAATAAAATAAAATAAAATAAAATAAAATAAAATGGTTAATAAGCCCGGCCAGGCGTGGCTCGGCAGTTGAGCATCGACCTAGGATCCAGGTGATCGGGGTTCGATTCCCGGTCATGGCACATGCCCAGGTTGTGGGCTCGATCAATGACTGTCTCATCATTCATATTTCTATCTATCTCTCTCCCTCTCCTTTCCTTTCTCTGAAATCAATCAAGATATATTTTTAAAAAATAAATAAAATGGTTAATAAATTTTATATGTATTTCCCAATAAAAAAAATTAATAGACAAATAAAAGACTAAACACACAAAAAATCTAGACTTAGATTCTGAGTAAAAATCGAAGATTAACCACACATTTCATTTCATTCCTTCTCAAAATTGTGCTAAAATGCCAAGCAGGTATTTTTAAGGCATGAACAAAAATCTGAAGGCTGGAAAGCAGATGGTAACTAATGCTGAATCCTAGACCCACAGGGTGGAAAGCCAAAGCCCACCTGGCTTAGTTCACAGAACTCTCTAAAGGGTCAGGAACTGGCAACAGCACCTCCAGAAACAGGGTGAAGGGACCACTAAAGCCCTGGGCGTTATCTCTTGGTGTCTTCCATTCCACATGGTTGGCTTACTTTGTCTCGGTCAACAAGGCAAAATTCTGGAGGATTATTCTCTAAAGCAGATTTCTGAACAGAGGGACACAAAGCACCTAGTGGGGAGGGCGTAATGAAACCAGGGGGTAGGTAAACACATCTACATATTCTTCCCTCACTTAGCTGCCAGAGAACCAGCTTTCACACACCAGGCAGGAGATTAAGACTTCTGTTCTCGGAAAGGGAAAAAAAATGAGGAGCAGATATCAAGGGCTCCCTAATAAATGGCAAACTCGGCTCACTCTACAGTGAACCCATAGTCAGTGAGTACCAAAGATGTACTCAGAGCTTCCAATCAAATTTTAGGGCCACACCTAAAAAAACTGGAGGTCTAGTCAAGATAATTCAATACCTGTGCAACAGAGGCGAAAACAGGGAGGGGAAAAATCAATGAAATAATTTACAAAAACGTCCCAGAATTAAACAATGTAAGTTTACTATTTGAAAACCCAGAATGCACAGCGTAATAAATTGTAAAAGTACATCCATAATAAAGCATATCTTTTTGAAATTCTATAACAGTGGAAACCAAGAGAAGATCCTACAAGCTTCCAGACATGGAGAAACAGGTAACGATAGATGAAAAATCAAAATGATTTTGAACTTTCAGCAGCCACAGTGTAAGCTAGATGACAATGGAACAAAATCATCAAAATTCTGAAGGAAAGCAATTCCCAATCTGAATTATACATAGACAGGCCAAAGTATTCATCAAGGCTAAGAGGAAAACACAGGCATTTTCAGAAATTCAAGGTTTCAGATAATTTGCCTCCCATTTGCCCTTTCTTCAGCAAAATGTGGGAGTCAACCAAGAAGAGGAAGACACAGGACAGGACAGAAGAGAAAAGAGAACTCCCACAGAGAGTGGGCACTAGGAGGCATGGAAAGTGCTCCAGTCTGGGGGGGCTTCTTCAACATGATGTCACTGACAGAATAAATTACGTGGAAGAAAATAGGAAATGTGGGCAACTGGGAGGAAAGCTTGGGTTCAGTTAGCGATAAGGACACAGAAAACATGTAAACTCGGGAACATAAATCACAGGAAAATACCATACAGCTAAGAATTGAGAATGGTTACCTCTGAGAACGGGAAATAAGGTGAGAGGACTGAGGAGATTTACCGTTTGTCTGAACAATCCCTACAAACTACTTAACTCATTAAACTGTAACTTTGAAAAAACAAAGATAATAAAAAAGTGGCAGACAGAGACATAAGGTACCTAAGGATTTCCCAAGGACATAAAACCTACCTTGGCTACGAAATCTGACCTCTGGACACTAAGAAGGCTTAGAAACTTGTCCTGCAAAGCAAAAAAGAACAACAAAAAAGAAATGAGTTTGGCCGGAGGGGTGAGGGGAGCAAGAGAGGAACACATTACTCTTAGGCTGTCATAATTCTTGCCAAAAGCATGATATCAGTACCAGAAATCCTCGGGTTCCTGTGCTCCAGCACCTACTCTGCAAAGTGGGTATAACAGTCTCTCTGTCACAGGGTTGTTGTGAGGTTTAGGTTTATAATGAACATAAAGCACTTGTAGCAATGCCAGATACAAATATTAACACAGTTAATACTTTACTTTTTTAAAAAACTGAAATTATTTTTATATCAAATTATTCAATTCAATTGTCACAATGATACTAAAGAATTCACTTGAATGCTCACCTTGTCTACTCAACCGTAAGGCCTCTCACCCTTTCACATATGTCTCCTAAAAAAGGGAATAGGAAGAGAAGCCGTCTGATTATCCACGAGAAACAGAAATAACAATCAATGAAAGTTGTTTATAAAGATGTTTATCATACTGAAAAATTGTACCTGAAAAACAACCCAGGCCACCCTCCTTTCTCTTACACTTTTTTCTTAATTATGATCAATCAACTAACTAAGCAAGTCAGCAATTAGAACTGAAAACTTTATACCAACTATATATTAACTCAGTAATGTTGAGGCAAGCATTTCTCCATTTCAAAATAGGTTGAGTCTCAAACTTATTCACAGACCGTGTTCTCCAAGTTCAGTTACACTTTATTATAAAACCTGAGAAACATGTTTAAAACCTGAGACACAAAATTATGAAATAAACTTGAGAACCTATGCAATATTCAAAGGCCAATTTAATCCATAAGCACCTAAGAACCATGGAGAAGGAAGGGAATAAATATAACCATATTAGGTAACTTTCAACCACTTCTTTTGTGCTCTCACATCTAACAAAATAGCCGTTTGAGATTAAGGATTATGTCATACTTTTTTTTTCATCTTTGTATTTTTGTAAACAGTATATAACAGAGTACCTGCCTTCTATCAAGAGCTTCAAATATTTACTTAATGAATGAATAACTAGAAGAGGACTATTTGAACCATACTCCTTCTACAGAGAAATGCACTGTAATTCCCAGTAAAGGATCAATTGCAGGAACTCTGGCAACAAGACCCGAGTTTGAACACTAAGAGCAATAAAGCATGGCCAGATTCTACTCCATCTACACAACGACCACTCCTAGCAGAAACCACATTCTGGTCACAGATCACCATACGGTTTCTTAGTGTGCATACACCACTAAGTTGGTTTTTCGTAATATAAAACTTGACTTCCAAAATTTACCTAGCTTCTTTCCCTTTACCAATACCTTAAAATAAAATAGCAACCATAACATTTTATCTGGTAATGTATTCTCCCCAGTTCTACTGCGGTATAACTGACATAAAACATTGTATTAGTCTAAGTTGTACAATATAATTATCTGATATATGTATATACTGAAAAATGGTTATCACACTAAGTTTAGTTAATATCCATCACCTCACATAGTTACAGGATTTTTTTCCTGTGATGAGAACTTTTCTTCTTTTTTATATGAACTTTTAAAATCTACTCTCATCAATTTTCAAACATACAGTATTGCTAACTACAGTCACCATGCTGTACATCACGTCCCCAGAACTTACTCATCTTATAACTGAAGTCTGTACCTTTTGACCACCTTCACCCATTTCCCCATCCCCTACCCCTGCCTCTGGCAACCACTAACCTGTTCTCTATTTCCATGCCCAATTTTGTGAGATCATACAGTATGTCTTTCTCTGTCTGATGTATTTCAGTAATTTCACATGTTGTCACAAATGGCAGGATTTCCTTCTTTCTTACAGCTGAATAATATTCCAGTGTATGTGCGTTCACGTGCATGTGCGTGCACGTGTGTGTGCACACGCGCATGTGTGCGCGCACATGCTCATATACTTCACATTTTCTTTATTTATTCATCCACCAATGGGCACTTGAGTTGTTTCCATGTCTTGGCCATTGTAAATAATGCTGCAGTGAACATGGGGGTGCAGATGGTCTCTTTGCGATAGTAATTTCATTTACTTCAATATATACTCAAAAGTGAAAGTGCTGGATCCTGTGGTAGTTCTAATTTTTTGAGGTAGATTTTTTTATTTGCAATTTCAGTACTACTTGTTAGTACAGAAGGTTATCAACTGCAAACTTCATACTATGGCCAAAAAAAATTTTGTAATCAATATTCAGACAAAAATTCTGATTTAATTCCAGTATTTCTCTAGCTCAAATGCAACTATGTTTACTTACACATTCCAAAAGTGAAGTAAACATAAATAAATTTCGGCACCAAAATAATTGCAAAAATAACTGAAAATTATAGAATTCAGCAAACAATATATTCAATATCCACAATGATAATGACTTCCATATTTTGAAACCTGAAAGAAACTTGCCTAAAAAAGAACTCCTTTGATTTTTCATTACCCAAAACAACTGAATTTCTGTACTATATCCTTAAAAAATAAAGATTAATTTATCCTAGAGAGCCAGAGCTCACTTAGGCTTTATGGAGTGACTGATAATCATATTTCTTCTTCCAAACAAATTCATATGGACTGTCACCTTAAATGAGGTAAGGTGCAAAGAGCACTTACGCTCCAATCTAGCACTGGAAATTACTCCATAAGTAGTATTTCTCTTGAGTACTCTTTCTGCTTTGAAGTTCTCTACCCCCAATGAAACCAATTATTTACAATTTTGTTTTCTGTAAATTTAAGAAGGCTGCATAAATATTTCTGTGAATGAATACAGGAGGTTGAATGATGATGATGACTTGTGAGCAACAGAACAGCCATGGTAGTGTTAACAGCAGAGTAGACAAAGCAACTCTAAACCACCTACTACGTTAAAAGAGTATCTTCTACACAAGATTTTTAAGTGAGATCTTTATGAGATATTTTTGAAAATTATTTTTACATCCAAGAAAACTTAATCATAACTAATTAACCCTATTTTGAATTTTGATTCAAGAATGTTTTCCATAGAAATATCAATGCTCAATTTCTCTGACTAGTGGACTATGTAATAAAATATGAAACTCACTAAGGAAAACAAAGCCAGAACCTTAATGCCGTTTTTAGAGACCTATTCTGACGTGAAAGTAAACATCATCCACTGGAAGCATATTCCAAACTTTTAGGAGAAGTAGGTAGGTGAAGGAGTAAGAGAGCATAAAAATTTGACACTATTTCTATGGAGCAGGTTTGTGTTTTAATGTTTTCATTCTGAAAAGGAAATGAAGTAAACTCAGACCTCCATCTGGCTTGCCAAAAGGGCTATCATGAGGACTAATATTCTTAGGTTAACATTTTAGTGAACTTTTCTCTTATTTGTTCCAAGTATTTTAGCATTAAAAACCATATAACATGATGCAGCTGCTTTGAAAAAAGTTTGGCAGTTGCTCAGAAAGTTAAACATAAAGTTACCATATGACCCAGTAACTCCATCCCAGGTATATACCAACGAGAACTGAAAATGTATGTCCAGCAAAAGATAAAAATACAAAACTTTCAGATAGCAAAATCTATGTGGTCTGCTTTAGTACTCATGAACCTATCTGACATTCATTTTTTTTTAATTTTGATATTCAATAGAGAAAGGCAACATTTAAAAAAAGCCGTGCCAAATGTAATAACAGCCCATTAGTTTATTTCGCTTCAAATACAGTAGAAAATACAACTTCTGCTGAACCTGATTCCAGGCAAGGTCAAATTCAGTCACCTACATAATATGCCCAAAGTTCATTCACAATCTTCCTGACTGCTCTTAACAGGGTTCCCGTAGAGCAGGCTCCCGATATACATTAATTATGTAAATTATCAGATTAAATAATAGTTTCAACTTAATAAATAACATCCATTTTGGGCCTGCACAAACCAGACAATGAACTAGATGCTTTATACATATTAGTACTCATTTAGGCTCCCAATACTTTACACAGGTTAAATAACTTGCGTAAGATCATAATGTTAGTACATTACAAACCCAGGATTCAAACCAAGGTCTGTCAGGCATACAATCATTTTTGCTAAACCATTCCAAGTGTGGGCTACAAAAGAACATATTTTCAGTTTAATTGCCAAACATTCATATTCTCTCTTGAACACAGCTTCTAAATGTTTAGGGAATGAGAAAGAAAAAAAGGAGTGGAAGAGAGCATTACTGAGGAATGAAATGAGGTGTCTGGGGGAAGACAATGCACTATGTGTCTGCTATGTGCCATGTGTGGCGCTGGCTATTTTATCTTTAAATTTTTATTTATTGATTTGAGAGAGAAACATCAATTTGTTGTTCCACTTATTTATACATTCATTGGTTGCTTCTTGTATGTGCCCTGACTGGGGATCGAACTCTCACCTTGGCTTAATTGGGGTGGGAGAGGGTGACACATGCTCTAACCAACTGAGCACCTGGCCAGGGATGCATAAGCTATTTTAAATGCATAAACACTTAATTGTTACAATCCTGGGAGATAAACATTGGTACCTCCTGTTTTACATAAGAGGCAACGGAAATTTTTAGAAGGTTCAAGGTTAAAGGCACAAAGTTAGGACTAGAAATCAAATTCAGTCCATCAATAAATATTTACTAAGTGTTTACTATGTATCAGGGCTATAAGAGGCATGTAGAATAGAATATTAGAGATCCCCCTCATACAGCTCAAACCAAACCCATTTTGTTTTTGCTTAGGAAGTAAGTCATTGTGAAACTGAAAAATCTCCACAACTTTGTTTTAAATGATTATTCATGCTTTGGTTATGTGTGCTGAGTACTGCCCATAAACCCCAAAGTTGATTGCCATGAAAACTGAACAAAACTCCAGTAGTAAATGTGAAAATATAATTCTGTCCAACATTCATGACTTTGAACATATTGCTAGACAGAGAAGATCACTTTGGAAAATATACCTCACATGTTTTCGAGAATGATTTAAACCATTAAGCATTCTACGAAGCTTTTGAAGGTCTGTCAGATTTTAAATGACAACAGTGAAATTTCAAAAAGAACAGGAGAAGTCAGCACCAGAGCTAGTTTAACATTAATAATAAGTGATCTAATAAATAGGTCTATGTTTGCCCAGTCAGGTTTTGCTTATTATGTCAGTTGGAAAGCAGGAAGGAAACTGGTTTTAGCTCCCATATAGCCTGTATCAGGACAACATCAGTTTATCAGCAATGTAGCTGATATCAGCATAATACTGAGGCCATTCAAATTTAAAACTGATCTTTCTTAAAACTATTTTCATAATTCATTCACAGTACAGAATTGAGAAACCTCCTTAGAAAAAAACACAAAAGGGTAATAAACATTTGAGAGCCCTTTATGTGCCAGACACTACATGAATTTTCCCACTTAATTCTTATAGCCACCCTGCAAAATACTAACCTTGTCTTTTAGAAGAAGAAACAGAAGTTTTGAGAAACGAAGTAACTATTTGCTAAGGCCACATACCTAATAGAAAGGCGAGCCAAGGTTCAAACTGAGGTC